GTTCATTTGCAATTACAAATATCTTAGGCTTTCATTTCAGTGTAAAAAAGAATTAACTTAAATATTTCAGTACTTTTGCACCAAAACCATTTCAGAATGTTAATATAATATAATAAGATTAATTATCATTACCTAACATACCTTTAAAGGACAAAATTTTATTTTATTATCGTGATTCTAGTGCATTATATATTCACGCTAATTGTTAATCGAGATTGTCATTCACAAAAAAAAAGGGGGTTATTTTTACGCGTTAAACAGCATGGTTGGAACTTGAAAATACGGCTCATTAGATGATTTAAAAAAAGTTCTCTGCGTTTGGTTTATTTTTGAAATAAAAGCTACTTGAAATGAATATACAGTTAAGAGACAAATTTAAAAAAAATGTTAATAGCCTTTTTGTTCAGTGGTATAGAGATCAAGCTTTGTTTTACATATCCTTCAATATTTCAAGAATGAAATGTATTTGTGCCATTTTGTTATGCATAAGTTCTGAAATATTTATTACTCATTAATGAAGAAACAATTAATTATTTAATTAAAAAATCTGAAAGTTTCAGATTTTATATTAAGCCTCAATGGGCCTTATTTTCATTTACAGACACAAACACATTTCGAGTGCATCTGGGATAACCCCTCATTGGGCTAAAAATATAATAAAAAACTATATATCTTTAGAATTTCCGATAGACAATCTCGCGTGCTGAAGATAAAATGTTGTATTCCCTACAGTGTTGCGACTGTTCGCTTTGAGATTGTTGAGTTTTTAATCAAAAATTTGTTCAAATTTTACAAAATATGAAACAGACAAAACAAATTCGAAATTCCAAATACGGGCTTCCACGTGTCCATGTTTCGTGTGGAGGTCTATGTTATTCATTTGATGACACTAGTTACCTTTGTTTTTTCGCAATGCGAGAAACATACATGACTCATGTAGATCCTTCATTATTTAGTTTCTTTATATATAATACAGGACGATAACATTTGGTGAGAGCAATCTGACAAGTGATTCGGACATGTAAATTGATTCGACGCAAAATGCCGTTTTTAGACTAATAGCCCTTCTGGGCTAACGACCATTTGGGCTATTAATAATATTTATAATTCATTAAATACTGAATAGTTTGTTTTAAAATGTATTAATTTTTATTTTGCACTATATTTATTTTATGTTTAGTTTACTTGATTGTTTAATTTAGTAGCATATTTTTATTCTTTAACAGAATATGCTAAACATTATAATTGTAATAAATTAAGATATTATAATACCTTCTGTTTTGAGTAATCATTTAGGTTGGTAAATACTAGACTACTTTTTCCGTTCCCCTCCGAATTTATAGTGAAATATTTTACAAATTACCTTGGTGAAATTTGCGACTGAACAATCAAAGAAAACCATTCCAAAATCCCTCATAACATCATTTTTTATTATTAGGATATAGTGAGGATACTTCACCGCAAATAATTTTTTTCTAGTATGAATAAGTATGGAATTCTGTTATATGCTTTCAATCAATCGCTATCTAATTTACGTATCAAGGTATGATAGGACATATATTGATCTATATATGAGAGAGGAATATTAAATCCGGTATCAAATAATGTTAATTGCAAAATACAGCTAGAATATTTCTCACATATTAATAACGAATTTTTGTATAATAATATAGTATACAGTGATTTTTCATTAATTACCCCTAAAAACGTTTTATCGTGTGACATTTGTAAGTAAGTTTCTGTAAATGTAACAGAAAATCAAGGAAACTGTTACTTTCTTAATTACGCACTCTCATTCTTTTTTCTAGCTCTTTCTTCTGAAGGCTTTTGAAAGATAGGCTGAAGATGTTAGGAAGAAAAAATAAGAAGACGAATATACCAAAGCATATGATAATAGAGAAGATACTGTGATGGGTAAGGTACCCTGTTTTATATCACATTCGAGAAGTATATAAACAACTATCATTTATTCCTTGCAAATCAAACGTACTTATATTGTCTAAAGTTTAAATTTTTTTATTAGGAAACGCCGTTGAAATAGGATTTGTTTGTTCATCCTAATGCATTAGATATTCTTTAAATTTTTATATTTGCTTATGGAAAACTTGCATATCCAATGTTATTTCTGTAATTTTAGCTTAATTTTAAAAGAATTATGTAATGTATACAATAAGTGCCGCTTATCGTAATCACGGTTAAAGTTATCATTCAGATATTGCTATTGAATTGCCAAAGTCCGGCCGGTTTGGAAAAATGTGGAAAACATGGAATATACCTAGTGATCCAAAAGTCTGTTAACATTTGAAAATTCAATAACTCACAGAATAATCCAGGGAGCTAAGTAAATTGACGCACATGCTTGAAATGGCATGGGCTTTTAAAGTAAAGTAAATAAATAAATAAAAATAAAAAGTAGAATGAAAAAAAAAAAAAAGGCCAACATATGGCGCTGGGCAGCAGCAAACTGTCAGTGACGCCCCATGAGAATCGTGTATGAAATGAGTTATAGTGAGATAAGGAATCGGTCCCTTCAATGACTTTGTAACCTTTCTATTCTCGCTTTCAGGTGTTGGTTAAGGTGGATTTATCACATCAGTCGTGATCGAACCTTTTTTTCTTCGAGAAACATGCGTCGCTCTACTATTTAAACTGCCAGTATGACGGGTGCGACGTACGCTGATATATTACAGAATCGCATCATCCCTAGTCTGGCTGATAAATACCTGTTTGAAGGTATGACTTTTATGCAGGATGGAACTCCTTCTCATATTGCTACAGGTGTGAAAGATCTCTTACATACATCGTTTGGTTTTATTTCCTTTCTGAGCTTTCTGAGCCGCCTTTTCCGTCATACTTGACTTCACAGGTCCCCAGATCTCCATCCGTGTGGTTGTTGGTTGTATGGTTAAATGAAATCGCAAGTCTACCAGGATCGTCCGATTTCATTATGGATGCTAAAAGACAACATCCAACGGCAATTTCTCACTGTATCTACAGATACGATGTACAGTGCTGTTCATACAATTGTTAGGCTAATTATTGTTTTTGTTATCATATGAAGCGCCATCTGTTGGCCAGTTTAAGCACTTTTTTTCGCTTTCAATAAAACCCTATGACATTTCAAGCACGTCTGTCAGCTTTTATCTCTCGATCTATGTTATTCAATGAATTATTGGATTTTCCAATGTTAACGGACTTTTGGGTTACCCGGTAAATCGTTTATTGTGACGAGCTGGTCGATTAATATTACCAAAATATTATAGAATAAGTTTTTGAAACTGAAATAATGCCATCAAATAAAAGATTTCAAACTGCTGAATAAAGTTGAAGTATATTGTCAAATAACAAAGATTTGTCGTCAAATACACTGATTTTGATTTCAGCCAAGACAGAAGTCTTGAAACTGCATCTCGGAAAAGATAACAAAGAACTGTTTCAAACATGTCAACTTTTCAATAAGCTGAAATCGTTTCCAATTAATATGAGCTGTGAGGAATTCAAGGCTTGGGAGAATATTGGTGAAAAATCTCAAGATGGAGCATCAATGACAGAGAAAAGTACCTGCCTGTAGTTTTCCGAAGCAGATTTCCAGAAACACTGTTAATATGAACAGTTTATAAATGAACTTTAGCGAAATGATTCCAGATAATTAATTATTAATGGCATTTATTTATTTAACATCTGTGAAAGTAAGTTTTCGTATGTTTCTAGTTATATTTATTTGTATTAATTTAACCCCTTAGCACCGATTGTCACGCAAAAGTGCCAGCAAGTTAAACACTAATTTGTGCCAGTGTTCTAAAACGTTTTATAGGTCGCTAGATGGCGTCTTGTGTCCATTACGTTTGAAATGAGTAGCTTCAGGATCCCCACCTTCAATTTGATCACATTCCGCGTAACGTTGATGTCAGCTGTTACGGGGGGGGGCCGTATTGTAAACAGACAGAGCTCTTCTTTTAATTCGTCACATGATATTAACATTCCGTTTCTATATCCTTTCCAATCCTTTTTTATTATTTTTTGCTGCTATGTAGAGTCCTTTTTGCTACTATGTAGTATTACGATATGAGATTGTATTACGCTCTTATTTTGTTACTTATCAGATGAATGGTAAATGAGCCAATTAGTGATATGAATGAGAGTGATGGCTCATTTTCTAAACAGTTCGAGAGAGAGATTTCCAGTGATTCTCATGCGAGCATGTTGTCAGAGACTGAGATAACTGAGAGTCTGCCTTCTAGTTCACGTGAAAGATTTTGTTACTTCTTTTTGTAAGCAGTCTTCCTTGTATTTTTTTAAATTTAAATGTTCATTAATGGAGTTTATTAATTGAAACTTCGGAATAATTTGAATAACGCTTCTAGAAACTATTTCTCAAAGTAAACAATTTTTTTAGATATTTTCATGTAAAGTAAAAGATAATGATTATTAAACGATAATTTTAACACGCATGATAGTTTAAGTAATAATCTAAAATACTACCAAAAATTATGATATTAGGAAGTAAAGTTTGTTTTTATTCCCTTATTCGCCCCCCCCCTAAATTTAGGCAAAATATCCGGCTTGTAGAATGACTCCTTTAGACACCATCCATTCCAAGGGAAACATCTTAAACAAAGGCACGCCACCTTGAAAGGGTTAAAGTGCATTGATGATTTGAAGGAAGCATTTTTCATCGGTTAATGCTATTTTCGATTAATGTTATCAAAATAGTCATGCATACACATGATCACATTAAGCGGCTCCTACTGTATGTGCATTAAACTAATTTGTTTATAATGATGCTTCACGTCTGCCACCTATAATGGCAAGTTTTTGGTACTTGTGAACCCTTCTTTATCGAAACAGGAATCTGGTGCCTTTTCCTAAATGCTCTATGTTTAGATGAATCTGATAAAAAAAATTCGTTTTGTTAATTTAAAAAAAGTTTAGTTTAATAGTTCATATTTTAAACTAATTCTTGCATACAAGTTTTGAAATATAATTTTGATGAAGGGCATTTAGATATGGCAGTGCCCATTTCCATTAATCGAATGATTTAGGGACCCAGATGATGACTTTATTGTTCTGAATCGTATCCAAGTACTACCTTGCAAACTATCATTAAAACTTGATCTCTGTATGGGGTATTTACAAAAGAGAATTAGGAATGTTCTTTTAAATTTTCTTCCGAAAATGCAGTAGATGACGAAATTTACGGATGAGTTAATAGTGACCAATAAGTTTGAAACTCTTACTAAAGAGGGTAGGAATATATCAAAATACTCAATGATATTAACAAGCAAAGCAAGTATGTTACAGATGAGGAATATAATGACAACACAAAGAAGCATCATTGCAAGGCTGAATTCTCCCTCTTGCTTGCGACTCAACATCTGACGTTCTCGATTGGCTTTCCGAACTGTTTGCCAAATATAAATGTTGAAGACAGCTAACATCAGAAACGGAATGAAATACATCACAAGTAAGTACAGCCAGATATGATAGACTTCATAGTAGAGCTTATTTACTCTCAGCTGCGAAGCTATCACTTTGTAGACTGTTCGATTAAGTTGAGGAAAGAAAACTTTCTGATGCTCAACCTCCCAAAAACGTGGTATATTATAACAAACGGCCATCGTGGTTATGAGTAAATTACAAAATCGAGCTCTTCTGTAAGTACACAATGATTTTGCTCTGAGAGGATGGCAGACAGCTATGTAACGTTCTACTGTAACTGCAACTGTTGTCCATACTGATCCCGTCTGTGCTATCAATCCCACCGGATAGGCAATTGGTATTATGAAAGGTGAAATATCTAATGCATATATGTTTAGAAACTTCAGTCGTGTGCCAAGTTTGTTCAGTCCAAGCATAAGTACTGCACAGAGTAAGACGACAGTGTCAAACACTGCCAATCCTTGAAGACCGCAGTTGACAGATGATCTCATCTGAGGCCTAGAAAGGATGACGAGAGATACAATGTTGGCAATTACACCAAGTAATCCTATGATGGTTATCAGGGCACCTTCTATGATGAACTCAAACGTAGAAGTGACTGGAATCATTTCAAATGGTTCAGTATCGTTGAGCATTACCTGAAGAATTCTACCTCTTCCTGAAGTCCACTGAGTCGCATTCATCTTTTATTAAGTAAGTCACAGGATATATATAAACTTTAAAATTCCTTTCTAAATGAAATTAAACTTTGTGATAGGAATGTAAAATCTGGATACTTAGAAAACCAGTGTGCTCAAATTGTAGTAATTTTAACACTGCAAATTTGAGAACATTTTAGTAAGCAAAAGGTTGTACGTTTTACACTACTTGTTGCATTTAATCAAATTATAAAATTCACACAATTACTAATTGAAAAGAAAGCTTGTAAAAATGAATAATGATTTAAAATACGGAGTTTATCTTTAATCAATAACAAATGAGTTTTTTAAGATCTGTGTAATAATGTTCATATATATCAAGCCATTATACATAAAGTTTAAAAATTAATGTTGCATTTCTTTAAGCAATTTAAAAGCATTATCTGCTTTTCAATAATTAAGTATTTCCAATATTCTTCTTATTATAAATATTCACATTAATTATATTAATAAAAATAAAAACACACACGGTTTTCTTTCCTGGACCGGAAGTATATTTTTATTGTACAATATTTTTAGCTCTTAGCGCTTGAATCATGAAATAGTTAACAGTGTAACAAATAACAAAAAAATTCATAAATCTGATCGTATTTTTAAAGCATCAAAATGTAACGAAGACTTTTAAAACTTCTTTTGAAGTTAAATATTATAAATATATTTCTGAAATACTATTTTAATTAGCAAGAAGCCTCTATATGCGTCAGATGCTAAAATAAAGGGGTACTGGTTAAAATCTTCATATCATTATAATTTTTTAATAATATGTCACTAATAGTGCCCCATATCATGTACATTTAATAAAACATTTACATTCTTATCTTAAAATATAGTATGGAAACTGATTGAATCTGGTACATATTTTTGAATAGTTTGAAGTTTTTAATATTTTCATTATAAAAACTTTACTTGATGGTTGTATAAAGTCTAACTTCTGTAGTTAACATAGATTCGAACCAATAAGCTCAACAACGTTTCTCATTTAGAGCAATAAAATGATTCATATAATCTCTCCAAATTTCCAAGTAATTCAAAAAATGATTAGAATTTTTCAGATAGATTAAAAATATATGCAACCAGAGCTGTCCATTTCCTGCGCTGTAGCACCTGAAAGAGAAAATAAACATAACATAGAATAAACAGGTAAATACTGATGCAATTAAAAAATTAGATATGACAACCATCTGAAATTTAATGACATTCTAAACAAGTCTCATTAGGGATGCAAACATGTGCTTCGTGGATGTTACCGTAAGTCTTCAAAACTTAGACAGGGCTGCAGGAAACTATGCAATTAACTTGTTCTTCGCTCGTTAGGGAAGCCTCGAAGACAGTTGAAGGAGAAATTAAAATACTCTGTAAGTATGAATTTCTCGGACTTTTCAGGTAGTGTATTAATATACAAATAATTTATTATTTCATAGTAGGAACTGAAAAGTTTCTTATGAAGACACTTAATAATAATCAGTTTATTTATTGACAGATAAAATATTTTTAACTGTTATCCAATTAGGACAGGTACGACTTCTCCCTTTATTCAAGACTTAATTTTATTTCCAAATATGATGGGGATCTATGATGAGAAAGAAGGAAAAATATTTTTTTTACGGCCTTTGTTTGGAATTCGTGATCGTAAAGTTTAAAGATCACTTAGAAAATCTTTCAAATTTGAAGTATAGCTTTCTTATGGTGCAGCGGTGGTTTCATAAATTATCATCAGCGCGTATAAAAGTTTCTCAACAGGCGGCTTATAAGTGCTGGGTAAAAATACACGTACTAACAGAAATTAACGTCGAGATATTCCGATTAATGGCAAGCCTTTGTTGCTTATTGAGCTATTTCAAAGCAGACATTCAAAGGTGAACTATTTCAAAGGTGAACTGTTTGACAGAAGATGATTTACATTTTATTTTAGTAAAGTGAAACCCAAGAACTAAAAAGCAAAATTGTAGAAGTTCTCTGTGGAGTGTTTGGAAGCAAAGCTGTACATTCTAATATGGCGTAAACATGATTTTCATGTAGATGTTATTAAAATGATGTCTTCCACACAGGATGTTTGTGCAATAATATAATGCAAGAAAAATTTGTCATTTTTTCACTTATATTTGGCGTAGCTATGAGTCTATATCTGATATAGTATTTGCGCAATAAAGTAATAAAAGATTTCGTTCCATTGAGAGATAGATCGCATTTTTACAAGTTAGCCTAGACTGGGTGATGTCTGCCGTATACCCAGTATGCTGAGGTCTGCCGTATGCACTGGGTATACGGTTGAGGGTATCTGAGATAGAATTTTAGAGATAGCTTGTTTATTCATGGACATAGCGCTTCAAAGAGTTGTTCAAGCTATAGACTCTAAAAATTCTGGAGTCGAGGATTAGTTTGCCCATAAATTTAATAATTCTACCAGAGTAACGACCATAAATACCCATTAAGAAACTTTTTGATATTCTAAGCTATCAAAGATCCTAATTTAAGATTAAAATTTAATCTCTTCTACAAGATCTAATCTACATTTGTTGATCAATAGAGTAAGGCAAGAATTTCTGGAATTCATCCTGAGATGCTTTCCAGACCACAGCTGAAACAGGACTTTCTTTGAAAATGCTATTTCAGCAAAATATACCATCAGGGTTCATCTCCATGCCCATTCATAAGAAAACATTTCAACTCATATTGTACTTCTTAGTCTTACACACATCGAAAATTGACATATAACTTTAATTACGTCAAATTAACTGAAGACATACTTTAATTGCATTTCATAATTTCTGTATCTATTTGATGTAGAATATCAAAAAATGATAAATATATGTAAAAACTCAATGTTTCTTTACAAGCGAAAACGTTTTCGTTTAAATGTATGCTGTTGTTGCATTAACAAGCTCAAAATATGATGATGAGCAATGGTTTTTAAGATTGCTATCTTAGAAAGAGAAAATTATGTCAGAAATTCCAATTTTAAGAAAATCTAAGCTTTTCATGATTCCTGAAATAGGAAAAAATTCCAATAAGAAATATAACACCTTCTCTAATGATGAACTCATAGACGTTTTGCCATTTCCTACTTGTTCGCACATATGATCTTATATCAGTTAGATTATTACAAGTGTTATATCTAGAGTGTCAGTTAGCTGTATTTCTGGAGATTTTCGTCTAGTTTTAAAACTATAATATGAAAAATAATACTCATTCTTAATCTTTACATATTCAAGCTTATACAGAATTTCAAATTCCTTATACTACTGCTAATTTTAATGATTTTGATAGCATAATAATAAGTTCCTGAATGACGGAAGATAGTTTTCAGTTCTTTACATTAAAACTTTTAAACACATTTGGCTTAAAAACAATACTTACAAAGCTTAACGGCTAACATCTGCATTTCCAAGCCATCGAAATATTGCTTCTCATTTCTTTAATCTTTGGTGGCATTACCTGGATCAAATAAAATCATAATTAATAAAAAAGTAGTTAAAGTCACAGTAAATTTAATTTAGTATTTTATGTCTTATCATTAACAAACGATTAACTATCTAGAAGTATCATTAACAGACTACATCAACTATCGTTAACAGGCTATCAACTATCTAGAAGTGATTCTGCTTTCAATCTGCAGATTTGGAGACAAAAATCAAATAGCGCTAGAAAATATAGCGCTAATTGCCATAGGAAATGGCAAAACGTCTATATACTACAAATACTTCAAATGGATACTGATTTTAGTCCAAATAGAGCTAGACACTGCATATACACAGATTGACGTCAGTCTTAATCCCTTAAGCTCAGTATTTTGTTAAAAATAGCTGGCTTTATTGTACTATAAAGCATTCTATATATCTTAATAAAGCTAGAGAGGAAATCCTTGTTTAGTATACAGTCAACAAGGGAGGAAAATGTCAAACATGATTTATTTACTGCGACTCATGTAAATGGATCACACTCTTTAGATAAAGCTGTACTTCATTTAACCAAATAAGAGGATGAAATAGGAATAGAAGCTACGAAATAATCCTATAATCCTGGAGAATGATCAAGAAGTATGATCAAAAGGGCTATAATCAAGAATAGAAATTAATCTTATTTAAAAAAAGTCTGAAAGGTTTCAGATTTTAAATTACGTCCAAAGGGGCACTTTTTAACGTTTTGCGTCTTACCTTTATTTATTAAATATCATACATATAAAATCAGTTCAACAGCAATATCGCAAATTAATTTTAAAATGAGCATACCTTTAGAATTTACCATACAGAGTCTCGCGCGCTGGAGATATATATATTTTTTTTTTCATATAATGTTGTCATTGCTCGCTTTTAAATCGTTTAGTTTTTAAAACAAAAATTCGTTGAAATGTTACAAAATTAATGAAATGTTACAAAATCGATAATAAAAAAAAATTTCAAATTCAAATTAGGGGCTCCACATGCCCATATTCTATGGAAGGTTACCTTATTCAAATTTTGATTGCTCTAGTTACCATTGTTTTATCACAATGCGAGAAACGTAGACACATTTATGCAGCTTCTTCATTATTTAATTTCTTTAAATATAAGACAGGGAGATAATATTTGGTAGCAACAATTTGGGAAGTGAAACAACGCTTATCGTGAATCGACGCAAAATGCCAAAACGAAATTAATAGTCCTTCTGGGCAAATTGCCTCTTTGGACTAAAAATAAACAAATGTGTGCTTGTTTATCTTGCAAATAATTTTACGTTTGATTCAACATAAGTACAATGAAATCAAGAACAGGTGATTGTTTTTCCCGTAACAAATAACTTATGATGGCATTTTTCTCCCTTATGTACTTATGCATTAGTGAAATATTAGGACATGCTTGCTTTAATCATACATTTTATAGAGGTATAAAAAACAACTGATTTCTTCTTTTAGTAAAAAAGTACTTCATGATGGCATTTTCCGTTTTATATAATCATATAAGATTTAAACGCTAGATAATACTTACCTTAATTATACATTTGATATAAATTGGCTTCTTTCAAGAAAATAATTATTTGCTACTTATTACATAGGTTAACCATTTAGGCAGATAGCCCTCGTATGCTTTGCCATATTCAAAAATTTAACATATTAGATAGGCTATACTCTAAAGTTTTACTCTAATTATAGTTTAAATTTATGAGCTATTCTATTCGACGTAGTTTAATTGTTTCTTAGGTACCAAAATGGTACATTTATAATTAAAATACGGAGTTATAAAATAGATCTAGATGGATTAGATTGTTCAAATTGTCATTAAATTCACTACTCTGAAAATGAGAAATAAACAATGAAGTAAAAAAATAAAAGCAGAAAAACAAATTTGCCATCAAGGTCATTTTTGTTAAAGTAAGATTTACTGCAGATAAAAAACATAAAAACATAAAATAAATTTATCAAGAAAACATAGTTATACTCAATTAAAATTATTTTTTCTCATTTTAGAATTCTGAATTCTCAATTAATTCTGTTATACTGCTATACCTTTTCTGAAGCTGATGTGGTTTACTATAAAAGGTATGCAATAAACCCTATTACAGTGCTTAAATTAGTTAGTGCCACTGTAAAATATTTTAAGATGTTCAAAATAGAGCTTCACTGTCTTAAAGTTTTATGAAGATTACCAGTGAGGATGAGAATGCAGGAAATCTTGAAATCTCAGATTTATGTACCAAAAAAAAGGAATAAAAATGAAAGGATGGGACAGATATTTTATATTGAGTATAAGAGCAAAGTTACAATTTTGAGGCTGGAGAGTGCAGTCAAATTTTCCTGTACAGATTTCAGTTTAATACCTGAAACAAATTGAAGCTATATAATTAAGTCTATTAGATTAATAATTAATCATCAGAAGTCCAAGTTCCGGATTATATAACCACATCTTTAAAGCAAGCTGTTCGAAATAATGATAGCCGCTCTGATCGTCTTCGCTTAACTGGTTGGGCCCAGGCTCAATCCTGGAGAATGCTTGAATGTTTGGAAGTATATAATGTCTGTGCGGCCGGGGGGCTTTTAAAATAGTGAGCCAGAAGTCCTTTGAAGTGTTTGATGTTAGGGAAAGAAAGGTGGAAATCTCCGTGTTCATCTGGCTGAGACATTCTCTTTCGAAATTAGGATGGGAAAGAAGCATTCTGGCGGATGTAGAATCGGTCTCTCCCGAAGTGCACCTTGCACGACATTTTCAGTGATGAAACGGTTAAATAGCCGACGGATATTGACCATGCCCAACAAATATATTACATTCTAAGCTTAAAGCTCTTTGGAACAACAATAGCAGAAAATAGCTTTAAAATATGATGGGAAGAAAACGCCCTATGTTTTTCATAGTAAATTAACTTGTATACTTCTTTAATAAATATAAGACTGTGTTTGTCTAAAACAGTTTTTTTATTCTTTTAATTGGATCTCTTGCGCATGAAGTTTCTTTAAAATATTTTCTGAAAATGAAGTGACAATACTATCTGTTTTGTTACAGCTGGAAATTCGAGTAGCTAAAATAATAATTTACGATTTCATGGAAACATACGGTATATCAGCAGTTTATAATAGAAAAATTTAAAGTTCATTAAAGAAAACAAACGTTTTGCATTGCTAATATGTATGTTACCGCGATATGCTTCACTTGAAAATTCTGACACAATTCCTATTATTCCAAGTTCTTAGACCTTGAAATAAAGAAACTTTTTTTAAAACTATAGAGAACTTTCACCGTGGAAGAATGCATTAATGGTGAACTTTCGGATATGCACCTCGTTTACTGGACTACTCTAATGATGTTCACTTCAATAACAGAGCAACTATTGAATTGTATGCAAAGCGATTAGACACTCAGCTGACATTAAGTCTTATCAAATTGATCAGTGAGACAAGTGATGTCTGGGTAGTTGTGGTTAAGTACTTGTGGTACAAGCGCAAAGTATCGTAATATTATATTGTTACGAAAAGTCCAGCTGCGGAAAGATAGCTTCCCCACAAGGCGGGTTTAGGGTTGCCAGAAAATGGCAAGGGAAGGCAAAGTTGCCATATTTGGAAAATCGACCCAGCGAGTAATAGTTTCAGTGTCATCTGAAAAAAAAATTATTATGACATTCTGCTTAAGGAATTACAAAGCACCTGCACCTATCAACAAGTATCTATCAGCACTAAAATTATTTTCAATAAATTTAAAGCACTTCATAAAAGACTTAAAATCCTTCACAACAAATTTAATAACATGTTTGCAAACCTCTATGCACTTCCTAAGTTTGATAAAACCCCAGTCAAGTTCAGATATATTGCCAACAGTACCAGAAGTTATTTAAAAGATATAAGATTATCTCTTTGCAGAGAAACTTAAAATCATTCGGGATATTATCAATAATTTTGATTTTCAAGATCAAGATTGCAACTGGATGATTTCAAGCAACAAGCAAATTCTTAAGACTTTAAATTCACTTAAAATGGAACATACACAATGCTACGATTTTGAGAACCTTTATACTACTTTACTGCTAGAAGAAATTCATAGTAGCTTGCTTACTCTCCCTAATTTATTTCCACAGTTAACTACAATAATATCTACTGAAGACTGGGAACTTTTTCTTACAAGTGTACTTTAACAATTATATTCAATTCAATAACAACATCTTAAGACAGTACAAGGTATACCTATGGGCGGGAACATTTCAACTGCAATCTGTGAACTCTTCCTATTTACCCAAGAATTTAAATTTGTACGTTTACTTAAAATTGAAGATAACAGTATTTCCAACACATTTTTCGTTATATAGATGATGTTATATAGATGATATTACCTTTAACAACTTCAACAAAATAGAGAACGCAAATATTTATCCAACTTGCCTCAAGCTTAAGCTTAATACCACTATTACTGTTTAAAATGATGCAGTTTACTTTGATTTGCATATTCTAGATTACAATCATATTAAAATTTTCGACAAACACAGAGATTTCAACTTTCCTACAATTAAATTAACTAACTGGAATTCTAATATTTCTAAAAGAGTCGTTATCAATACAATTAATGCATAACTTCTTAGAATTAAAAGATGCTGTAATAATACAAAACACCTCCAAAAAGAAGTACTCTACTTTGTTAAAATCTTACAAAGCAATCTTATTCCAAAAATAGTCATTAAAAATTCCTTAAAAAAGCTGGCATTTACCTATTTTTTTTAGATTATTTAAATTAGAAAATGAAATTTTTTTCTTAAATCCCGAAGGAAGGTGATTGATGGATGGCTAATTCAGATGATCTATTGTAAAAATGTAAAGTTAATTCCTCTTGCCACTTCAATTTTACTCTCCACGTTTGACTCAGAAATTCAAATTATATTCTTAAATAAATTACTAAACCTTTTTCTAGCCATTTCTTTTCCTTTATTGATTTTAAGGGCCAATTTCGTTTCAAGTAGTTTGCAAGCCCTCTAGCTTGAAG